ACGGCCGCATTTCACACTCACTAGGTGATTTTTTTGAGCTCCTGACATATACACAAGTATCCTGTTATACTCTACATAATGAAAGCTACTCAAAATCATTACAAGTATAAAACTTATCCTTTAATACTTACAGGGAGCACTGTACATCATTTTGGGAGATGGGCACAGACGTTATGTCATTCAATGCTTTCATCAGACTCTGTTCGAATTGGTTGTCCCTTTGAACTTAGATCTTGCAATCACATAAGTGGGGTTTCCATCAAACATCATCTTTAGTCATAGGCAATAAACCCATTTCCTTTGATGATTTCAAAACTTGATCTCTCTGTAAACTTTTAGTGAACAGATCCGCAAGGTTGTCAGCTGACTTGATGTAATCGACCGAGATTACACCCCTTGAGATCAAATGTCTAATGGGCTTATGCCATCTTCTGATGTGATGAGACTTACCATTGTATAGGTTACTCAATGCTCGAGCTATTGCTGATTGACTATCACAATGCACTCGTAATGCTGGCACTGGTTTCTCCCACATAGAGATGTCTTAAGGAAATTCCGTAGCCATTCTGCTTTCTCTGCTGCCTTGTATAGCGCTATGAACTCAGATTCCACTGTGGATCTTGCTAACAGAGTTTTTTTGGAAGATTTCCAAGATACTGCTGCACCTCCTAGAGTAAAGACGTATCCACTTGTGGATTTTGAATTCATTGAGTCTGATATCCAGTTTGCATCAATGTATCCTTCCAAAGATGCGGGTTCTTTACCATAGTGCAGCCCATAACTCTTGGTGTATCGCAAATAATTTAATACCCTTGTTATGGCTTTCCAGTGTGTATGACCTGGATTACTTGTGTAACGACTTAACACGTTGACAGCATGTGCAAGGTCTGGTCGTGCAATTGGTTAAGTACATTAGACTGCCAATGACCCATGCATATTCCACTTGTGAAACAGCTTCAATCAGAGTTCTTTGTCAAGTGTAGTTGCGAATCCACGGGGGCCTTCGCAGTTCCGTTTGAGTGAGCCTTGAACCTCTTAAGAATCTTTTCAGCATAATGACCTTGAGACTGAGTGATGCCTTCAGAGGTGCATCTGATCTTTATGCCAGGGATAATATCCGCAAGACCCATGTCTTTCATGTCGAACTGACCACTAAGCATTGTCTTGGTTTGTTGGATGATATCATTGTTACTTCCCATGATGAGCATGTCATCAACGTATAGACACAACAAGCTATACCCGTGAGGAGTACTTTTGATGTAGATACACTTATCACACTCATTTATGCTGAAACCATTTGACATCATTACATTGTCAAACTTTTCATGCTATTGCTTTGGAGCTTGTTTCAGACCATAAAATGACTTCACAAGTCTATAGACTTTGTGTTCTTGACCCGGGGCCACAAATCCTTCGGGTTGCTTTATGTAAATCTCCTCTTCTAGATCACCGTTTAGAAAGGCCGTTTTTACATCCATCTGATGGATATCGAGTCCTATTAGGGCTGCAACTTCTATCAGTATTCTTATTGAAGTTATCCTCGTTACTGGAGAATAGGTATCGAAGAAATCTAGACCTTCTTTTTGTCTGAATCCTTGAACCACAAGTCTGGCCTTGTACTTCTCAATTGAACCATCAGTTTTCAACTTGGTTTTGAATATCAATCTACACCCTAGCGCTTTGAAGCCTTGAGGTAAATCAGTGATCTCATAGGTATGATTCTGCATTATAGAATCAATTTCACTATTAACTGCTTCTTTCCAGAAAAATGCATCAGGTGTAGACATGGCTTCTGTGTATGATCTCGGCTCATTCTCTGTGAGAAATACCATTAAGAAATCATCACCAAAAGATTTTTCCTTGCATGCTCTTTTGCTCCGTCTAGGTTCATCTTCTTAATCTTCTGCTTCATCAACTGAAATTCCAGAAGTGTTCTCCTCATTTACAGAGATGCTAGCGTCTCTTTCATCATGAGTGCGTTTCTTACTTTGTTTTTCTTTACATGGAAAGATGTTTTCAAAGAAAGACACATTCCTAGATTACATTATCGTTTTGACATGGATGTCTGGTACATCTAACTTATGTACTAGGAATCGATAAGCACTGCTATTATGTGCATATCCGATGAAGATGCAATCAACCATTTTAGGTCCAATTTTCAGCTTCTTAGGAGGTGGCACAGCGACTTTTTCTAAGCAGCCCCACACTTTGAGGTATTTGTACGAAGGTACAGTTCCTTTCCAAAGTTCATATGGCGTTTTGCCAGTTAGTCTTGTGTGGAATTTTGTTGAGGATGTAGTTTGTGGTGAGCAGCGCTCCCTCCCCCCCCCCAGATTCTGGGGTGTGCCGGATTCCTGCAACATTGCATTCATCATCTCTTTCAGAGTGCGATTCTTTCTCTCTGCAACTCCGTTAGATTCCGGTGAGTATGGAGCGGTTGTTTGATGTATGATGCCTTTTTCTTGACAGAAAGCGATGAAAGGTCCATCATACTCGCCTCCTTTATCACTTCTAACCATCTTAATGGTTTTTCCCAGTTGGTTTTCAACTTCGAGCTTGTACTTTTTGAATTTGTCCAAGACTTCGTCTTTACTTCGCAATAAGTAAACGTAACAATATCTTGTGCAATCATCAATGAAAGTCACAAAGTACTTCTTACCACCCCTTGTTTATATGTATTTTAAATCACACAAATCAGTGTGGATTAAGCCAAGAGGTTCGGTTGTTCTTACAACATGATTTGAGAACTCAATCCAGATAAGCGATTAAAACATTTAATTCGCTATCAATTGTTCACAGAAATCGCCTTAAGGCGTTCTTAAACCCTAATAGTCGTTCCCAGAAATCACTTTTAGGTGTTCTTAAACGCTATTTATCAGATCTATAAGATCGTTTATAGACAAACGTTTCGCGATCCTGCCTAGGGTTGACGTGGAAATCGTTTTGTGTCTTTATGATAATCGTCTGTTTTTAAGTTCAAACGTTCTACGGTTGGTTATAAGACAATCGCAGAAGCGTTGTTGATCGATCAGAAAACGTTTTAAAAATCGTTTTATGAAATCATTTTTGAAGAATTGTTCGGAATATTCAATATGATTCAAGCGATTAGCAGGAAAAGGATTTAAAGAATTAAGATTATAGGACCGCAAAAATCCAGATTGAAAATTACGAATATAAAAACGATTTAAATCAATAATAAATGATAATAATTTATAAAATGTTTTAATAAAACCTTTAAGGAAAAGATGATACACGGAGTCGAAATATGATCTCTTTCCTTAATTCTTTAAATCTCCAGCAGTGTGGCGGTTTGAAGAGATTCATAATCCCAGGATATAACCGTGTTGAGACTAAAGTCGCAGCACCCGACTATAGAATCTGCGAACTTAGAATATTTGCTATACTCTCGAGACTTACCTAAAACTGTAGAGACAAGAGGGATTTGCTGAATTTTGTGTTTGAAAGCTTATTGCTTTTCTCTATGAAGAATAATAAATGAGAGAGGTCCTTATTTATAGTGGAATAGAGGTTTGTGGTACAAGGAATTTTTCTTATTACTCACGGAAGATAAACGGAAATATTCCGAATATCTTTGTTCCTTGTTCGACAAGGTTAAAGAAAGATAGAAATATTTCGAAAACTTTTATTCCTTGTTTGACAGAGGAAACAGAAATATTCTAAAAATATTTATTTCTTATTTGACAAGGATAAGAGAAATGAAAATATTCCATAAAATAATCCGACTCAGTCAATAAAGATTTATCGATATTAAACAAAAATTATAAATGGAATATTGACAATCCATTAAAAAAAAAATATTTATTCCAAAAAGAAATTCTTTTGTGGTTTTACATAATAGCCCTCATATTTCCAATGTGTGACAAATGCACATCTTGATTTTTAATCTTGATTACATATTTACTTTGACCATTGATTTCTTATTCAAATTAACTTCGGTTTTGACAAGTAATTATATTGTCTATTAATGCTCATTACAAAGATTTTAAAAAATCCATAATTACCAAAATTTAAGTTCCAAGAAAGATTGTGACCACTATACTCAGGTTGTGTGGAGAAACTCGGTGAGGATGGGATGTGCAAAAGTGACATGCAGCAATAGCCAAAGCTTTGTTCAAAATGACAATGGTCAAACATTTATCACTTGCAACTATGATCCTCGCGGTAATTTTGTTGGTCAGAAGCCTTTCTAAAAAGAAAAGCAACCTCATTTGTATATTATATATACACGCGTGCATGCACATGTACGTAGACGTTGTTATTTCTATAAATACATACAACAGAATCTCTTGTAAATGGCATGGTAATTACGAAAAAAATTAACATACAATTCACAATTAATGTCAACTTGTCAGATGGTAAAAGTTTGGATCACCCGATTCTCCCCTAGTTATAAAGGAATAGAAAAGTTAATGTCATTGGACTGACTTATTAACTTTATTAGGCAATGTCATTAAACAATTCATAAATAGCATTCTTTATTCAAAACAATATCATTTTCACTAGGCGTTATTTGAAATTTCAAGCTTTGTTTTTATCATCCAACACATTTATATTACTGAATGGTTTGTGGGTAGCCGCTAACCAATCCGGCACATATGTGCCTAACTACAAAAGTAAACAAAGAACCACGCAAACGTTCCTGTCCAGTGAAAGAATCAGTGAGCCATTTATTCCAGTGTCATGAAAATGGAGTTACTACTTACTTGTGTGTGTATACACACAATTTTTGTTTGCTTGCAATGTTTAGTAGATTTAGATTTATTTTTATTGACGATCCGACATGTATGGATGTCTAAATTTAGAAAAGAAAATAACAAAATAAAAAAAAAAAGATGAATCTTGAATGATCTGACCGTAAACTGCCAATTTTAGGATAAAACTTGTAGTTGAGAGAAAAACCTGCGTCTCTTAATATTACATAATCCAATTTCAATCTATGAAATTTTACTTTAACCTTTTTTCTGTAAAAGGTCATCAACTAACTAAATATTTGTTTTTTTAGACAGTTGGTATCAGTTGGTTTCAACTGAAAGCATCACACATCTATATAATCCCCTTTCTGACTCCAAAAGATTACGTCGCTCACAAGAAAGAGTTCATCATCTATTATCACTCTCTTTTCTCTTTACCTCAAGTTTTACAATCATAGCGAACACTATGAGTACCTCAGGAGTAGAACAAGGTGTTGCGGTTGCGGACTCTGAGCCGCCGAGGGGAAATAGAAGCCGATTTGCTTTTGCTTGTGCAATCTTAGCCTCCATGACTTCTATCATCCTTGGTTATGGTACGTTTCCTTTATAGCAATCCATTTCTGGTTCCGTTTGGTTCGGTTTTACGTTTTAAATAAAGAACGATTCTTACACTTTTACCTTGGGATATTATTGTAGACATTGGAGTGATGAGTGGAGCTGCAATTTTCATTAAAGATGATTTGAAACTTTCGGACGTACAGCTTGAGATTCTTATGGGAATCCTAAACATCTACTCTCTGATCGGTTCAGGCGCGGCCGGTAGAACTTCCGATTGGATCGGAAGACGATACACTATAGTGTTGGCAGGAGCCTTCTTCTTCATTGGCGCCCTTCTTATGGGTTTTGCTACAAACTATCCTTTCATTATGGCCGGACGTTTCGTAGCTGGTATAGGTGTCGGTTATGCTATGATGATTGCACCGGTTTACACCGCTGAAGTTGCTCCTGCCTCTTCTCGTGGCTTCCTCAGCTCTTTCCCTGAGGTCTAATAGATATGAACTTTTTTTTTTTTTTGGGAAGAATGTAAATATCATTCGAAAATGAAAGTTTAGGTCTTACAAAATGTGATTAGTAAATTGCTTAACCTATGCTAGTTGGCTCCATGCTTTAAAAGAATAAAAAACCACGAAGCAATATACAATCGGTGTTAATGTGGTCTTTGGTATGCTAATAGATCCGAGCTTTCTAATTGCATATATAATAAGAAACAAATTGTAAACGGAATTTGATGTTAATGTGGCTTTTTGAATGCAGATATTTATCAACATTGGTATACTGTTGGGATACGTATCGAATTACTTCTTTGCCAAGCTTCCCGAGCATCTCGGATGGAGGTTCATGTTAGGTATTGGAGCGGTTCCCTCCGTGTTCCTCGCTATCGGAGTGTTGGCAATGCCGGAGTCTCCACGGTGGCTCGTCCTCCAAGGTCGTCTCGGGGATGCTTTCAAAGTCCTCGACAAAACCTCAAACACCAAAGCAGAAGCCATCTCGAGGCTCGAAGACATCAAACGCGCTGCTGGAATCCCTGAGGACATGACAGACGATGTTATAATCGTTTCTAACCAGAAAACCGCCGGGAAAGGCGTGTGGAAAGACCTCATCGTCCGACCAACCCCTTCCGTCCGACATATCCTCATAGCATGCCTTGGCGTCCATTTCTTCCAGCAAGCTTCAGGAATCGATGCGGTTGTGCTTTACTCTCCGACCATCTTCTCAAAGGCTGGATTGAAGTCCAAGAACGACCAGCTTTTGGCTACGGTCGCTGTAGGAGTTGTCAAGACGCTCTTCATCGTGGTAGGGACTTGTGTAGTCGACAGGTTTGGACGTCGTGCCTTGTTGCTCACGAGTATGGGCGGAATGTTTGTTTCCTTGACCGCTCTCGGGACTAGTCTCACAGTGATAGATAGGAACCCAGGGAAGACGCTCAAGGGAGCTATTGGGCTTAGCGTTACGACAGTGATGACGTTTGTGGCAACATTCTCAATAGGTGCAGGCCCAGTGACGTGGGTCTACTGCTCGGAGATATTCCCCGTGAGGCTAAGAGCTCAAGGAGCAAGTTTGGGAGTGATGTTGAATAGATTGATGAGTGGTATTATCGGAATGACATTCTTATCTCTTTCTAAAGCTCTAACCATCGGTGGTGCGTTCCTTCTTTTCGCCGGAGTTGCTGCCGCTGCATGGGTCTTCTTCTTCACTTTCCTCCCGGAGACACGTGGTATGCCTCTTGAGGAGATGGAGAGCCTCTTTGGGAGCTACACCGCGAAAAAGAAGAAGAATGTTGTGAGCAAAGGCAAAGAAGTTGTTGATGAACAATGAGAATGAGAAGAGAAAAATTGTTTCTGTTTCATTGTTATTTTGGTTCAGTGGAACGACGATGCCAAAAGAGTTCCGAACTAAGTCTTCATCCGGTGATGGAAATGTGTGAATGAGACGAATAAGAAGACTAATAAGAAATTTGACTGTCCGTGTCTTGTCGACCAGGTTGTACCTTTTTAATAACTTGTTTGACAAGGAAACGTAAGAAACTTGATCTGCAAGTTAATTAATAAAATGTAACATGGCTTCGGTTTCTTGGCTTATAGAGATCATTAAGGCATGCTTAGGGATCGCAGAAGAGGGTTCCTGATGATTTATGGGAAAAATTAACAATAACCTGAATATAGCAGACGAATCCTATATGAAGAGACTTGCAGATGTCTATATTCTCCGTCGTAAACTTTACATCATCACACACTTTGCAGACTATATAATTAACTACATCTGACAAACCATACACATAAATTGAGTTTGATAAGAGAAAAGAAACCAATATACCTCTTTATATATTATATAGAGATCATCAGAATCCTAGCCTAAGTTCTAAAGAACACTCGGGCATTGTAATTTGTGTCTGAAGAAGAACCGGGAAGATTCGTTGCAGGAACATTGAGATTGATAACATTCGAATCTTGGTTCTTATCCTCTTGATCTCTCTCCCAATGACATCTCATGTGACCACCTAAAGCTTGACCACTCGAAAACACTTTAGAACAGATGTTACATCGATGATTGATCCCGGAGACCAACTTAACATTCTTGCCCTTACGATCTTGATCAAGGATCTCTTTATAATGAGGAAGAGGAAGAGGAAGAGGATCTTCCGTTAAGTTAACATGTTCATGTGCTGCTCTGTGTCCATCTAACGCTTGATGTGATCCTCCTCCACACTCGAACCGTGCCTCCACTTGAACCGGTCGTAAACCGGTACGTTGGTGGTTAGGAGGAAGGTTGATGCCACGCCATTGACGCTCAGGGTGACATCTCATGTGACTAAAGAGTGCCTTCTATGACCAGAACTGTCTGCCACATTCGGTGCATGGTCGTGCTATTTTGGGAGCGTTAGGGTCTGGTTTCTTGACCGGTTTAGGCCTTGGAGAAGAAGAAGAACCGGTTTCGTTCTTGGAGATTTTAGTGCGTTTTTTTCTTGGGGTGTAACTCGGGAGAGTTACATTCGATGGAGCAAATGGGATAGTCAAATTGGATCGGAATCTGAAGTGTTCGTCATTATTCTAAGGAATGTGTAAATGAGAAAAGAGAAAACTAAAAGAGACCAAAGACCAAAGAGAAAAAAAAAATGGTTGTAAAATTTTAGTAATCGTATTTTAGTCAATCTCTTATAAATATATGTAATAATACTGAAATTATAATAATTATTATTTTCTATTAATTTAAATTTGTTAATTTTAATGTTATAATCTAGTATTTTAATTTTATAATATATCATATTATTAATTGGCAAACAAGTTGGGCTCTAGTTGAGAGTTATGATGGTTGATTACTTTTTCCTCCTTATGTGAATTTACTTTAATTACTCTTAATAAAATTAACAAATTAATATAATCTAATTATTAATTGATTTTCGATTTTTTTGTATCTAAATTTCTAAATTCGAGTTTATATCATAAAAATATTCAGTTTACTAAAAAAAAGTAACTAGCATAAATCACAAAAAATTAATCGAATCCCGCATTAATTTTTTTAATTAAAATAAAGAAATAAAAAACTAATTTTAATTTGATTATTTAACTTACTAATATTTTAACTAACCTAATTGATTTATGCGACCACAAGTAGAATTTTAAACCATTTAAACCTTTTTAAAACTCTATATATATATATATATATATCAATTAATGTTAAGTTGATACTCCCTCCGTTTTTATTATAAGATGTTTTAGAAGTGTTTTTAGTTCAAGATTAGATGATATTTTTAGAAATCAATGCAAAACATAATTTTTTTAATTGTTTAAATTCTACATATAATTTTTCTATTGGTTGAATTGTTTTGGAATTGATGTTTTATTTGGGAAAAGAGAAAATTAAATAACTTCTTAATTTATGTGACCTTAAATATCATATATAAAAAAACAGAGGGGGTACGAAACAAGGATCTTTTGGTTTGGTCATTTTGGATTGCTATGTTTTTTGTTTTATGCAAACTTTAAATATCATTAATTTTAATCTACAAATTTACATGAAACGAAGAGAATTATTTATCATGTTAGATAAATGTAACAAAACAACAAAGCATACATATAAGTTTTTATCGGATAATATAAAAGATATTAGAAAATAAGATATAGATAATATATTTTACTTTGTCACAAAAAAAATTATATACTCATAAAAATTATATTTTTTAAATATATTAAGTTTGGTTTCGAAACATTATAAAATCTGATTTTTATCTATAAATAAACTAATATTATACTTTAAAAAAAATAATTAAACTCTGCACGAGGTGCGAGAAAACACCTAGTTTAGTTTTAACTCAATCAATCATAATATTTTGTTTGTTTTAGAAAATTTGACATGTCATATTTCCAGATCAGCAATATAAAACACTAACTTTTACTTTTCTTGTGACACAATCAGATTTTTTCACTTAAAAAACTTCTCAAAAATAGTTAAGATATGAAACTCCAAATTCGAATTCCAATCTTTGATAAAAAAGAAGAGAAACAAAAATCTAAGTGTTGATTCATGACGACGTAGCCTTTATTTCCGAAGAACTTGTCGAAGGTAAAAAAACAAAAAAAAACTGAAACTTTTCAGAACTATAAGAAATTGCGGAAATGTTTAGTGTTTCTCTTTTCTGAAGCGCTTCTCCAATGATTTCCTAGCTTCATCAATCCTGAGGAAGGCTTTTTGTGACTTATCTTCTTTCATCTTCTTCACATCTTCCTCGCTCTGATCTTCGGCAACTGCCTCAGTATGGTCTAGAACACTTTTGCGTGATGTTATTGCAGCGACACCGCAAGTAAAGACAATGAGACCTCCACAACAATTTGTTCGCCAACACCAATTTTGGAGTCACCCCTATTCTATGAGTTTTGAATTTCTTTGATTCAATATTTTTGGTATGTTAATGAGAGAGATAATTATTATATCAACTAGGTAAAAACATACGCCATACGCCCGATGAGAAATCTATAAATAGTTTTATTAATGATTTTTTGCATGAAAAATGATTTTAAATTTGTTTAAAATGAAAGTCATTTAGGGAGGTGTATTGGATTATGAATTTTATAAGATTTGGTGGGTATTTATATTTGATAAAATTTAGGTGGATTTTGAGGATATTTCAAGATTTTTGTGAGACTTAAAAATAAAAATAGAAAATTTATTGGTGATTTGGTATGCTTTCGTCTTTCAATTTGTTAAGAGTTTTGAATGATTTGATAATCTATTTTATTAAAAGAGAATCCCAATTAAAAGAATAACTTTTAGTTAGTGTGTTATTTGCCTAATGTGTCATTAGACTTTTATTAGATATATAAAAGTTTATTAAATCTATTTTTTTAATTAAATCATTAAAGGTATAATTTTTGTTACTTTTCTCATTAAGAGCTCAATATTTTGTTTTTCTTCTTATTAAAAGGCCCATTTTTGTTTAAAAATTTAGAACTATCTTATTTTTTCTTGTTTTCAGAGTTTCAACTATGTATACCTGACTGTATGCTTGTAAATCATACAGATCATAACCTCGTTGCTTGATGTAGTTTGCGAAATCTGGAGATGTCGTTTTGGGGCTTCTGCAGTAATTGGTGATGAGAACTTTGCCTCGGGGCTTCAACCATGTGTAGAATGCAAAATGGTGTCTTTGTTGTAGATAAAATCAAAGGTATTATCTGGATACTCCTTCTTGGTGCAGTCAGCTACTTTGAATTGTACAGAGTATTTGAGTCCTATCGCATGTTCAAGAGCAAAAGAGATCATGTTTACAGATAGATCAATTCCCACACATCTGTTGAACTAAGCTTCAAAGAAGCTTGAGAATCAGACTTCCTAATCCTACAAGTTATGGATACCTAAAGTGATTATGATTAGAGGATACCTTTAAGAGTTATCTGATGCATTCTTTAATAGGATTAGGAGTTCTGATTGTTTAGCTATATAAGGAGATGTCAAGTTGTGACATAACTTATGAGAGATTGAGAGTTTAAAGTTTTGAGTTATTTTCCTTAAGTTAATAAGATAGTTATTCTTATTGATCTTTGAGTTCTTTAGTTCTTGTTACAAAACAATAATTGGTATCAGAGCTTCAGAACTTTGAAGAAAAATTGAGAACGAACCATGGGAGACCTTGTTGCAGCGACTGCAGCAGCAAGACCTAAAGAAGGAGGAGGAGGACCGTCGTCAATCACATGTCCTATGCTAAATACAGCCAACTATAAAGTCTGGGCTATGAGAATGAAAATAACGCTCAAAATCCATAAAGTCTGGGAGGTTATGGAAGCAGAGACGGATCCACCTGATAGCGAGAAGAACAACATGGCCATAACTATGCTCTTCCAGTCGATACCTGAGACACTCATCTTACAAGTAGGAGAGCTTGACACAGCAAAAAAGTGTGGGAATCGATAAAAGCAAAACATGTAGGCGCTGAACAAGTCAAAGAAGCTAGACTACAGACGTTAATGGCCGAGTTTGATCGACTCAAGATGAAAAATACAGATAAGATCGATGATTTCGTGGGAAAGTTATCAGAGATCTCATCAAATCAGCTGCCCTAGGAGTAAGCATCGAAGAGCCGAGAATTGTTAAGAAATTCCTCAAAAGTCTTCCACAGAAGAAGTATATACACATAGTTGCTTCACTTGAGCAAGTATTGGATCTTAATGCAACTAGCTTTGAAGATATAATTGAAAGGTTAAAAGCATATGAAGAACGAAAGAAGAAGACGCTCAAGAGGATCAAAGAAAGCTAATGTATCTGAATGAGGAAACACAAAGAAATTAAACAAATCGCGAGTACAATGGAGAATACAGGGGCAGAGGTCGAGGAGGACGAAACAGAGGATGAGGCCGTGGACGTTCGAATGATGGAAGAGATACTTCGAAGATAACATGTTATCGATGTGACAAGTTAGGACACTACGCTTCGGTATGTCTTGAAAAACTACTCAAACTACAAGAGGCCTAAGAGGATGAAAGTAACGACACCCAGGATGCGGATGAACTTATGATGCATGAAGTTGTGTTTCCGAATGAAAAGAAGGTCATACCGAGCA